TTTCAAAAAATTAAATCGTTCATTTCAAATCTTCCTAATGATCTTGCTACCTTTTTTGTCCGTACAATTGTATACATACAGAAAACGCTCCCTTTGGAAGATTTGAAATGAGTGATTCAATCATTTAAGTACTATTAAAATATGTTTTCTTACATCAGATTTACGTTGCCATTTTGCTGTTCTCCAAGTCAGCAAACTTTGGACTGAAAGAATCAGCTGTTACATTTTTGAATGATGTTTTGAAGCATCAATTTTGTTGAAAGAAAAAATTCATAGAAAACTTTTTGCAGCATTTGAGCTATGGACTCATAGTAAATATTAATCATAAAAATTTGTCAAAAAACAAATCTTTGGAATCGCCTAATTTCTGCACGCAATTTTTCTCTGAAAATTAAAAGTATATGAGCAACTACCATCCAGGGGTGGGTTATGGGAGGTCGCGAGGAGGTGGTTCCGGCGATTGTGAGTTCAGAATCGTCCAGCCAAAAATGGATGTCGTAGAGTTGTTTTAAATTTTGTATGACTATTTTCAACATAGATTTTATAAGACTATTTTCTGAGCGGATTAAAATTTGAATTTTTGAGTAATATTAGCTCAAAAAAACTGAGCATTAATAATTTCCACATTCGCGCACTATTGATTCCAACAAATAAATTTAATTCGAGCATTTCCTGGCTGTCACAAACTGTGTTTATAAGGTTTTAACACAATTCAATTTAACTTCATCCTGAGACAGATTTTCTGAGATTCTTTGGCGCTTTCAGGAAGTGAGTTTTTGCAATTCAGGGTCGAAACAAAATATTCAAAAATCACTTAACAACTTAATAAATTTATGTTCTTTGGGAGTGAATAAAAAATTAAGTTTCAAAGAAGGCATCATTTAAAGCTATGCAAAACCAAATTGTTTTAGCTGAATGGCTAATACAACGCAAAAAAGGAACATTTGACCTATTCCATCCCAAACAATTCAACCACTTTATTTTAATCTGATTGACTAGAATTAGCTAATCAGATTCCAGTACCAGCTCGAAAAGTTTTGTCTATAATTTTAAGTAGATATAAAAATGAGCCGAAATGCCAGAAAAAAAAACACATTATTTTGTAAAATAATCAAAAATTTTCAAATATGCTGCATTCACCACAAAAAAAAGCAACATGAAAAAAACCAACGTCACATCTGCTCTAAATTTGGCCATGTTGAAAATCGAATTAAGAAAAAATATATAACGCATTGATAACAACCAATTAGTGTTTTTTCTTAGCTTTACAGATTGAGTTTTTTCTTCAGTTGCTGTCATTTATTCTGATTCGAGTATGACCAACATTCCTTCAAATCATAAATTTATCTCCACACTACCTTCAACAATTTTTCAAAACCGTTGAAAATTCTAGCACCAGTTTTAAAGTTTCCCCTACTATCACACTCTCTTCGATTTATAGAAGCTTCCTTTCCTGAAATTCGCGGGCTCTCTATGACAACATCCAGACATGGTAGTTCCCATACATGGTAGATACTTCCAATTTAAGTTTTGCTGACTCATCCGTAAATCTGACAATATCTGACCATCTGTGGAAATATGTTTTCATGCATCAGATTTACAGATGAGTTGCTAATTTGCAGTTTTCTATGTCAGCAAATTTTGGACTGGAAGAAGCAGTTGTTATATTTTGAATGATCTTTTGAAGCACCATTTTTGTTAACAGAGTAAACTTATTGAAGTTTCTCGCAAGTTTCAAGCCTTTGACTCATAAACGTAATATTGGTTAACATTTGTCAAAAAAATGGAATCTCCTAACTTGTATGAACTAGACGCAGTTTTTCTCTGAAATTTAAAAATTTTGGCTATATTGAAAAAACAGTAGAAAATGCTAAATTAGAGCCAACATAATACATAAATTTTCAAAAAAAATCTTAAAAATGGAAATGCTTTTCTTTCCACAATTTTCTAACATTCAACCAATATTTTTCAGCATTTTTCCTTCGACAACTTATGTTGAGATAGATGCTGACTCTGATGATATTATGAAACCCGTGAAACCTAATTGTTGACACATTCAATGTTTCAGTTATGTACACTCATTACGATGCCAAACTGTGCACTGGATAGGCGCAGGTTTTAGTGTCTGTATGTTCCTGGATTCCAGAGACAAATCTTTAAATAAGTTAAAAATTTTTCATTACATTCAAAGCAAACGACGAAAGAACAAAAAAAGAACACAGAGAACTTCCTTGTTGCGAAATTCATTTAAATTTCACTAAAATTCACAGTTTAACCTCGTAATGCTCTTTTACACAATTATCTTTGGAAAATGTGTCTCTTTTTGAGCTGAGCCGAAGGATACAGTGACTATACATAAATCATGCAAACATATCACGCTAAATTGCTTTTATTATTTTTTGAGCAACTATCATCCAGGGGCGAATAAGGGAGGAGGTTGCGTGAATTGTTACTTCACAGTTGGCTGGCCAAAAATGGACGTCGTAAAACAGAATCAATTTCATATTTTACTACCAATTTTATAAGACATTTAAAAAATGAGCATTTTTGATTTCCACATTCGCGTCAAAAAATTTGAATGATTATAACAAATAAATTTTATTCGAGCCATTTCCTGGCTGTCCCAAAATGTTTGAACGGTTTTAGCACAATTCACCTTAAATTAATCTTGAGACACATTTAAACTTTTTTGAGATTCTTTGGCGGTTTCAGGAGGTAAACTTCTGCGTTTCAGGATCGAAGCAAAATATATAAAAGTCACTCATCAACCTAATAAATGTATGTTATGATTGAGTGAATGAAAAATTAGGCTCCAGTAAAGGCATCATTTTGAAGCCATGCAAAATCAATACAAAGAAAAAACTAAACTTTGGTCTTATACCGCCCCAAATACATTTTTTTCACATCTTTTATCCAGATCTATTTTATTTGAATCTGATTGACTAGAATTAGCCAATCAGATTCCAGTACCAGCTCGAAATGTTTTGTGCATATTTTTCAATAGATATAAAAATGAGTCAAAAGTCAAAAAACATTACTTGGGATAATACTCCAAAATGTTTCTGCATGCACCAAAACAAAATATCCGCAGGAAAAAACAATGTCACTCCGCTCTAAATTCAGCTTTGTTGGAAATTGGATTTAAAAAAAAACAGTTTACACATTGGTAATGACCGGGGCACTACAACAGTGCGGAAAATCAAAATGTTGCTTAGCAGTGCCTAAAATTGTTTAATTTTAATCTAAATCATCCCAAATCACTTACAAGTAAATTAATTTGAATCGAGGGAAGCTGAAAAGCCAAACATGGCTGTTTTAATTGATGCCGCTTGTTAAACAAACAAAAATTTTCAAGCGCGGCGTGGTAACTGTTTCTGAAAAAACCATTAACTCAATTAAATTGACAATTTTTCTTCTCGGTTAAAAAGAGTATTCAAGCAAACTGCCAACAATTCGCAAACAGAATTCAAAATTTCAAATATTCCCAATTTTTGGTACTGTTGAACACATTTTCAGTTTCGGCACTGTTTTACTTCGGCACTGCTGAACGCCCGCGTAATAAGCAATCAAGCGCAATCAGCGTTTTCTTCTCCGCTTTATAGATTTTCTTTGCAAAAGTACAAAAATTGTACCGAATAAGTAGAAAAAATTCATAAAATGAAGCATTATTTCACATTCTCAATAGCTTCGACAAAAACGAAATGTGTTACTGGTAATATTTGGCAGATGGCACTAGTTGTTTTTATTTGGTTGTTGTCATTGGGAGAGGGCTGTATTCTGATTAGTGAAGGAACAACAATGCCCAATTCTTCTCAAACCAATCAACGCCGTTCAAACTCTGCAAAACTGAGCGTATTCATTGCTTATTTCTCTCAATTGTTTGAATACTGAGATCTGATTGGCTGACAAATGAAGTTTCAGACCATTCTTTCGATTTTTTGAATACTGAGATCTAATTGGTTAACAAAAATTTCGAGCATTCGGTTCTACGAACATGAGTTATTCCCCCGTGAATTGGCAGACAAAAAAGACGTAGAACAGGCACAAAAATTTAAAACCAACTACAGTTATTGTAATCCAAAATAATGAAAACATTTTTTTTTTCAGTTTGAGCCGTGTTGAAAATGTTTTCCTTGTGCATTATTTGACACTAAATCATTTTTCAAGGCAGCTAACGTTGTACTTTCTGACAACTATGTTATTTGTAAAAACTTGTATTTTGCGATCGCCTGAAAGCTATAGTTAATTTGAAAGTTTATGTTTTGTTTATTTTTATAGCAGTACTAAAAAAGTCCTTTTTTTAGAGTTGCCACGTAAAAATTCAAGTTTTAGTTGGCTTTTCAGTTCTAATCAACTGTGCGAGTTTTTCGGATGAAGATTAGGTTGTCGTGTGAGTGGATGACTTTTCAAAACAGATGGCTAAAACTGAAAATGATTGACCTAAAACAATTCGCCATACTCAGCGAAATTCCTCAGTACCCTAAGCTGGCGTATATTTCCTTAATATAATTTTCCTTCCAATTTACAAGAAACTGACAGAATTTTAGTTATCAATGTTGTTTTTTCGTTCCCAATAGATGCTAAATACTTCACTTCTCTAAAGACTTGAGATTCTGAAAAAAATGTTATCATTTTTTTCAAATCCATTTCAAAGTTTTATCAAAGCTGTTACACACGTTAAAAGGCAGTCGGAACATTCACGGCTACGTCTTGATGCGAGAAATCGTGTCTGACTAAAATATTTTATTTTGTGAAGCTCTCTGCTAAAAACAACGTTGAGATTAGAACTTAAATTCGTAAAAAAAAACTCAAAGTTTTACAAACTATATTGCACTGGAAAACAATTAGTTCACAAAAACTAAAGCTGACCGGGTAAATTATTGGCGAGGGTAGTCGGAACATTCAGGACTATTAGCATGGGCTACTCTTGCTTCAGATCATTCAGAAACTATTTTTTCTAGTGCCAGCTCAGCTGGTTAAAAAAGTTGGTTCTGGTAGCCAAAAGACTGAAAAAAAAACTTGCAACAACAATTATTTTTTCCGACTCGCCAATAGTTCCCTTAACTTAAATTAATTAACAAAATTGTTTTTTTTTCTGTGATTTTTAGTCGTTTTTTTTTAAAATTCTGAATCACTTTTACTGCGCTACTCATAGTTAGACACAAACAAAAATTCATCATAAAAAGAGTTAACGTATATCGGCGAACAAAATTTTCCTTGACTGAAATTAATGTTTCGAAATAATAACTTATTAACAATCAATCGGCATCACTTGGTAGTATGCGAGTATTGGACATATACACATAATAATACAACCAGTAAATAGTGAACACTGTGAAAAAGGAGCTGGGGAAGAAAACGCGACTGAACAGTTCGATTCTAGTAGCTGTAATGTAGAGTTTAGGGGGGTCCGAATCAGCTGGTGGGGGTTGGAGAGCAGAAGCTACTGATACTCTCTTGAGCATGTCTTTGCGTTTGCTGTTCTCGAATGCGTGTCCCAGTTGTTGTTGTTTATTTTGGTGCTCGGATAAAATGGCAGCGAGAGGCGACATGGAGCTGAAGCAAAAATTAAATAGCATGAAAAATAGCATAACTTTTTGGTAGCTGCCTCTGGCATGAATACACGTAGCAACGAAGACGCTTTCAGCAGAGTTTTAAACTAAGAAGTCATTTAGCAATTAATTTAGAAAAAAACTGACCACGCAATTCTAATACCGAAATGTGAGACTTATTTCGACGGATAGTTTTGAAAATTATCAAAATTTCGAAACACACAGGCAAATCGGAGCATTGCACTACTTGCGATGCATCACAAACACAACTTCAGGCGCGGATCTAGGAATATCTCGAGGGGGGGGGGCTTATTTTCAAAAAAAAATTGAAATGTTTCTCGACCTTTTTTAAGTCGACCAAATTTATTTTCTGAGCTCTCCCACCAAATTTTGACCATATGTTGACCAAATTTGCTGCGCCGCAGGCAACCAACTTTTTCAAAAAAAAAATAGGCTAAAAAGGCATTTTTACGCACTTTTTGGAAAATTTTGACGCGTTTTGTCGGCGTGCACTCCCCCTCACAATTAGTATATTCTGGCGCCAAAGGCGCCTTCGAAAAATCTCAGGGCCAGTCAGCCAAAAAAGGACATCTCAAAATAGTACAAAAGTCGAATCCTTGAGGAAGAGGCGCCCCCCCCCCCCCCTCCCCCCAAAATCCGCTGGTGATGTTAACTTTATAGAAAACCAAGTCAAAAAGAAAACTATTAGCAGTATTTCAGCTTTTAAAAAGTTTGAGAATCAGTAACTCAGCTGAAAAAACTTGGGTATACGCCCGTTCAATCGAGAAAATTTCTAAAATAAAAGAAAAAAGCTACAAAAAATACTTTTCCAGCTTAGCCGAGCAACACACACATGCGACTGAAAATTATGATCGGCCGGTAAACGACACACTATGACACGTTTAAGCCATTAAAAGATTGGCGGAAGCCTTTTGAGCCGAATAGAGAATTAAAGCTGAGTGAAGCCGAAAAACAACAAAAAAAACAATAAAGAGCCTAGAGTTGGTTTTCAACTATCACGCAACAAAATTTTGGAAATGACGAGAATTTTAAAAAAATTTGCCGATCAAATATATCTGTTGAGGATATGATTCATTGATTTTGTTGAAGTAGTTTATCATAAGAAGAAAGTATACGTTCATACTTGTCAGACAATCACAAGGGTAAAGAGAGAGTTGAAAAATACTTAAACTCGAAAAAGGTCTTAAATAACCACAAAAAGCAAGAATCAATATTTACTGGAAGAAAACTATAGCTCAAAAACTATTATAATGAAAGTCGATAATATTTGGCAAAAATCAAAAATCGAGCATTTTTTTGAATGGCCAAAATTACAACAGTGATGAAAAAAAGCAAAAATTGGCAGAATGAGCATTGAATTGTAGCGCTCAAGTTCTGAAGTATTTGTCTTCCTAAGGCAACAGTTTCGTGGAACTGTGGAAAACTGGAACAATTTTATTGAGCTGAAAAATTTTCAAAAAAAAACACTTTTTAAATTAACTTTCCGAAATTCGAAGACAATAAAATTATAATATAAAAATAACAATTTTTCCATCTTATCTAGGGCTACCATCATTAGGTCAGAATTATTATTTACTCGTTGTTTAGAATAGAAATGTATCGATTGGTAGGACCCTTTTGGCTGCAAAAGCCTGTTTTTTCGGCGCTTCAAGCCAGAAAAAAAGCTGTTTCGCTCCTGCATTTTTTTCTGGTTTTTATGCTTTAAGAGTATTGATAACGATCGAGAACTAGACAAAGAAAAAACAAAACTGTTTTTTTTTTCATTTCATAAATTAAGGATCCCCCGTTTATTTATTTTCCAAAAGTAGATGTTCTTTGATGATTAACACTTGCTCACGCTTTTTGTCAAACCACGAAAAATGAAAGAAAAGGTGAACAAATTTTAAACCATTTCCTGAAGAAAAATCACAAGACCTAAATAGGTGATTTCACTTTGTTCATTGGCACTTAAAAACACAAAAACATTGCACACGAAAAGGAATCATGGCCAAACTTGTTGTTAAAAACACAGGCTAATGCATGAATTGAAAAAAAAAACCTCAAACACTTAGTTAAAACCATGTAAAGTACCAAAACAGGGCAACTTATCAAAAGTTTGCAAAATAACGTCTGCTGAATAAATTAACGAAATAAAACAGTTAGATTGTTTTGTTTGCGCACAAGGAACCCGGTTGACCTTCATTGACTGAAAATACTAATGAATCATTTTCATAAACTAAGTACTCAAACCAATACTATCCAAAAAAGCTTTGCATTCAAAATTTAGTTTTTTGTGTGCATATTGTAGAACTGGATATACAAGTATCTGGTCAAAACGCCAAATTGCTCAAATGCTCAAAACGCCAAATGATATGTATGTACTCCTTGATCAATGCATGAATAATTAGAATTTCAAATTTTTAAATTGATCAGATTGAAAATTTTTGCCAAAAATCAAAATTTGATACTCTCATTATTTCATTTGTGTAAGACAACTCTAAAACAATTCAGATCGTTTCCAAGTCCTTGTAACAGCAAGAAAGTCCATCTTTTGTTGATTCTTGTTTTCAGTAAGCTAAGGTCTTTGCCATTAATGTTTGGCTACGAACACAACACAAATAAAAATTGAAAAAAAAAATTAAATTTAAATTTTTTTTTGCTATTTTCTGTACTTATGGAATTGCATGAAAATTGTATGGTTAGCATTTTTTCATTTATGAAAATTGTGTGATTGTCAAATCAGGAAAACTTGGCGAACCACCATGAAACATATTTCTTTCATTAACTAAATGGCTTAAAATTTAATTGATGTTTCTTCAGTTCGCACGGGATCTATGAAAAGCTATGAAGCCTGTCCGAGCATAGTCCGTTTGTTTTAAAATCTTACGGTGTTTCGAAGTCAGACAGATGGCCAAATTGCATCTCTAGCGCATTAGTGAGTATGTACACGTCTAGATCCTGAAGGAGGCTGTTGTCCTTCACTTGGTTCAGAGCAGTCAGGTACTCCTGCTGTTTCTTCCTTCTAGCTGCTATGGCCGCGCTCAACTTCTTCTCTTTCGAGCCTGAAAAAAATCATTACAACAGTTATTGAGATGATAGGTTATGATTGACAATTTTTTCATAAACACAACCCAAATATAGAGCTGGAAAAATAGGTAAAGGTTTACATTCCGGAGTGTATTCTGAAAATTACTAACAAATACATGAATGACACTTTTCTCTCAAATCTAGCCAAAAAAAACAGCGGGTTTGGTTGCATCTAGAACATATAAAATCAGGGAGACGGCCCCATACCGACCCAAAGGGTCGACCCTTTGATACTAATTTAAGAAATAAACTTTTAGCCCGAAATTTTTTTCAAAGTCGCTTAAACTGCCAATATATACTAATTTTGAGGGGGCAACCCAATTTATTGGAAAACAATTCCATTAAGTGCCAAAAAACACTTCAAAAATTAGCCCTCCGCGCACTGAATTTGGCAATAATAGGGTCTTTACAGCGATGTGGGAGACCTCAAAAAACCTAAAGACCTAGATTTGGAAGATACTCCCTCAGAGAAAAACCTAGATTCGCTCCTTTATAAAATATCATTACGAGGCCAAATTGTGCATTCTGTGCATTATAAGTGGATTCTGCAATACGCCAAAATCAGATTTGTCGCGGAATCCACAACATTGCTACTTTTCTTTGATCTTCTTTACTGTTTTGTATTCCACAGTTAAATACCTAAAACACTACCGCTCAAAATGGCTCCAAAACAGGCGAATTTTAGGAATCCGCAGCATTATTTGCTGAATCCGTAAAAAGTTTGTGGAAACCACAAACAAAGAAAAAGACAAGTGTATAGTTGAAATGAGATGTTGAAGTGGATTCCACTTATATGTATGTATATAGGTAGTATCGTTTTAAATTATATATTTTATTTACTAGGTGATCACCAGCAAGGTGGTCCAATAAATACGTTGAAGCGAGCACGTTTTTTTGTCTAAACAATTTAATTATTACAATTTTTAATCTGAAAAATATCTGACTCAACATCTTTGGCGAGATTGTTGAAAAGAATAATTTATACACATATTAGTTTTCAAATAATTGCATGCTATATGCATGCGGGACCTGTCTAACATTGTTTTCGAGGGACCTGTCTAACATTGTTTTCGAGGTCTAACCTATTTTCGAGGGACCACTCTAATATAATAGTAACAAAGTTTTTTTGCGTGTGCTTTCATCTCATTTCAAATACTGCCCTCAAGATTTGATTTCATATTTGACTCATCTCAAATACTGGCTTCATGATTTGAGTTCACTCTCCACGATCTATATCAGTATTTGGGATTGAAGTAACCCCAAATACTGACCTAATTCGGCAATAAACTGTGCGTTGTATTTCCAAACACTCCCAACCCATTAGCTCCAAAAAATGAATTTATTCGGTGTTTTGTCTCAAAATATATGCTCCCAAAAATAGCTGACTGGGATATGTATTCCAAATACTATAGGGTGACATTCACCGATTTAGTTAACCATTGTATGCGGAATCCACGAGCAAATCTGAACAAATTGGTTAACTAAATCGGTGGATGTCACCCTATAGTATTTGGAATACATATCCCAGTCAGCTATTTTTGGGAGCATATATTTTGAGACAAAACACCGAATAAATTCATTTTTTGGAGTTAGTGGGTTGGGAGTGTTTGGAAATACAACGCACAGTTTATTGCCGAATTATGTCTGTATTTGGGGTTACTTCAATCCCAAATACTGATATAGATCGTGGAGAGTGAATTCAAATCATGAAGCCAGTATTTGAGATGAGTCAAATATGAAATCAAATCTTGAGGGCAGTATTTGAAATGAGATGAAAGCACACGCAAAAAAACTTTGTTACTTGCTTTTAAATTCTTACTGGATATAGATAAGAATTCCAGCCCTAGCTTTTAATTGATCAAGCTTTTAATCAACAAATTCGGAATACAATTACAGTTTGCAAAATTCGATTTCATTCGCATAATCTGCCTACAATTTTTGCGGATTTCACTTAAATTTGCGGATTCCACTAACATTTTGCGGTTCCACTTACAATTGCGGAGTCCAGAACAACTAGCTATAATCGCTTGTTGCGGAATTCGCAGCACAACAAATGTTCCGATAAAAACTACGTTACAGGTATTTGTACGCGGAATCCAGGGAAATTTTGCAAATGGAATCCACTGACTTTTTGGAACAGGTTTGAAAACTTATCTATGGAATCCAGGTACATACAGGCATAAAATTGTGTGCCTATACAGTGTACCGTTTGGCCTCGTAATGTTTGAAAAAAAACGAGGACGAAATTTGAAAGCAAAAAAGACTAAGCGTAAAACAAAACACTAAAGCATAAAATAAACTTCAACAAAAAAACTGTAAAAACCTCTTTAAGTAAAAAGTTTATGAAAAGTTAAAGTTTTGGAAAAAAAATTAATACTGAAAACAAACAAAAATTCTCGCGCTCGCCACTGCATCACTCGGTGGATGTTCAAAAAACCGACAAATTTACAAGCCTCCATGTCTTAAACTGAAATTGCATCAGAATTATCAAACAATTGCATAACAACCGTGACAACCTGTTGCTATATTGCATAACAAAATAACTTTTCGGCTTGGAATTGTTCTTTTTTTTGGCTTGTTGGCCATTCATCGCTACACACTCACTGAGATATATGACGGTTGCGAACTCCAACAACCCCCCGAACACATATCCGAAGCAGATGAAGAAGTAGACGTCGAGTGCCTTTACTGCAGACACATTGGGCAGTTTAGAGTTGGTCGACCCAATCAGGGTGATGAGCGACAGCACAGTTGTGATTGACAGACAGGCTCGGCCGGGGATTCCTTCTCGGTTGATCCAGAACGCCACCTGCAACCAAAAACACATCGAATATATACATTACTCACCGGCTTTAAATTGAAGCAAGTCTAGCTGAAAGATGTGAATCTAATAGCACAGAATGCACTAATTTCAGTTAGCTTTGAAGAAATTTAAAAAAAAAGGAACTCAGAATAAAACCAGAAACAAATTTAGATAGTCTTTTATCGAACTTTGCCGTTTTTTGACAAGGATCGAAAATTTTAACAGTATATAGCTCAACTAACAGTTAGACAAAAAAATTAATGAAAAAACCTGCAAAAGTGTAAAGTTTTTCAAAAAGGTAGAAAAAAATTGGAATGAACTATGGCGTAGGTCAGTTTTTTCTCTAGCTGACTTTGACTAATCATAAGAAGCTCAAAAGTGGTGCCATATGAAAAAAATAGCAGCCGCGATTCGGGTTCTTTTTGTTTTTCAGACGAATGACTTTTTCAAAATCTTTTATTAAGCAGCTCTTGTGGCCCATTAACTAATTCAGTCTCTTCTCGCTAACTAAAAATAACAAATAAAAAATAAGAAAATAGAAATAAAAACGTTTCATTTTTTATTGTTCCGACGTCCGATACGAAAGTAACAGAATGTTTGTGCTCGGGGTGGGTTTTTTTCTTCAGACAAATTTCGACTTTTTAGCTCGCCATTTTTGACGAAATTTATTAATATCATTTAAAAAGTATTTGTTGTCCTGGGCTTAAATTTTAAATTATTTTACCTGTGGTCATTTTTCGTAAAGGAATGGTGGTTTAAAGATTGCCATTTTTGCCAATTTGGGACAATCAACGCGCGATATATTTCGCGCTATTAACGCGTAAGCGGAGATTTAATCAGTCTTAGAAATCGTTCCAAATTGGTTGAAAGAAGCTGATTTGCCATAATTTATTTCTTGCAAGGAGCAAAATCTAACCTTTTGTACTTTATATGGCGTATGGGGGTTGATTTTCATTTTAAAAATTCAATATTTAGAAGAAAAAAATTTTCGTTTTATTTTATTACATTTAATTTTTTATGGTATTACTGCTCCATAAACCCTAAAAGGCAGTCGAAACATTCAGGGCTTCGCCCTGATACGTGCAGTCTTGTTTTATTTATGGATTTTATTACAAAATTTCGCGTAGTAGCAAGTTTTTGTGCTAGTTCCATAGCAAACGGATGTTCCTCTTGAATTTAGAACTCGGCGCACTTGATTGTTTGCTTTATTATTAGCATTTTGCCCTTACTACCAGTTACATTGTGCTTGATGTCATCGCAAACTTCTTGTATATTTAAGCAAAACTTTAAAACTTATACTGCTAATCAAAGAAAAGCGAAAGCAAACAATTTTTTAAAAAATTTAAGTTTTTGAAATTCTCCTAAACGCTGTGCAAAAGACAAAGTGATAAGTTTCTCTTCCAGTAACGAAATAAAAGACCAAATAGGTCAAGGTGAAGACCCATTACTTTAATATTTTACTGTTCAAACAGAAAAAAATCTAAGCAGCAGAATAATGACCGCCGCAGTCGCGCCAACGTGTTGCGAGCTTGCCAACAGAGGGTAGGACTCTTTACGAAAATTAGAGCCAGTTATCTCCGCGACGCGGGCGTAGCGCGCCCACCGGTGACCTTAAACCAAGAGCTTAAAATAATCGGCTTTGTAGTCTTTGGCTACTTGATTAATTTTGGTACTAACGCGATTGATATTGGTATCATTTTGGTACTTGTGAATACCCACCTAGGTCAAGTCAATTGAGAAATATTTCTGTGCTGCATTAATTTTCCACATGGGAACATCGCACGCATATTTTTTTTCATATTCCCAAAGCGCAAAATCTCACAGCTTTGTGAAATATTATAACAGATTGTTTTTTGAAAAAAGTAGTTTGTGTGATAAAAAAGCAAATAATTTAATCAATGATCCAGTTTCTGGTTTCTTTAATTTAGTATCGGCCCAGAAACATTTCAAAAACTCTTTGAAATAAATAAAATTAAAAAGAACGAGTAATTTGAATCAATAACTGTTCACTGTCATAAAAGTTCAATTAAACCGTTTCGTTTTTGTTGTTAATAAAAGTCTTTGATAGAAATTGGAATTTCAGATAGATCGATTGATTTGCATTTTGTCATTAATTTAAAAGAGTAAAACCTTCTTGATTCAATGATTTTGAAAAATAAATTACAGTGTTTTTTATTCAGTGCAGTTTGTTGTACAGATTTTCTAGTTGCTGTAGCCTGGGTACAGTTTTCAAGTTTTCTCCCGATCACAAATATTACAGCAATGAATCAGCCTGTAACAAGACTGGTAGCATTTTAGCTCTGATCAGCCTAAAAACAGAGTCCAACAGAGTCCAACAGAGTTTAATGATTGATCCAGTTTCCTGGTTTTGTTAAATTACTATTGGCCAAAAATATTCCAAAAAATTCTTTGAAGTAAAAAAAATTAAATGGAACGAGAAATATAAATCTATAACTCTTCATTGCCATAAAAGTTCAATTAAACGGTTTGATTTTTTGTTTTAATAAAAAATCATCTATGATAAAAACTGGAATTTCAGATAGATCAATTAATTTTGCATTTTGTCTGTAATTTTAAAAAAGAAACTTTTAACATCAAGTGTTTATCAAAAGCAGTTTCAGTGTTTTTTGGTTTGAGCAATTTGTTTCTTTACGGATTTTCTAGTTGCTTTGGCCTGGTTACAGTTTTAAAGTTTTCTCCCGATCACAAATATTACATCAATGAATCAGCCTGTCACATGAATGGTAGCGTTATCTCAAGTTTTAGCTCTGATCAACCTTAAAACAGTGCCCAACAGAATCCAACACTTCTTTCAGATTTGTATGAAACAGTTTTAGTTCATTACTAGTGTATGTTTTCTTCTTACGTTTTTCTAATTTTCTGTTTTTGTTGTATCTTAAAAAACATCAATTTTCACTTATGTACCATGAAAATCTCAAAGTCTGCTCTGTACGGTCAACCCGTCGTACAAAGGAGGACAGCTGGTTATTCCACGAGGAGCAAAGAATCTTGCGATCACGCTTATTTTTGCAACAAACATTATCCACAGGCGAAGCAGAGCTTTCCACCATTTACCGTCAAAAGTACATCAAAACATTGCAAGTCAGCCGACAGAAATTGAGACAAATACTACAACAAAACTTGAAACAAATTTTCGACCTGCACAAAAAAAAACAAGATCTAAAAAAAATATTATCGATTTGTTTCAAATATTGAAAAATAATCGTTTTAGGAAGAAAAAAGCAAAGTAAAACAACAAGTTGTTTCATTAGCATCGGAACAAAATTTACGAAGCGGTCACGGCGTCAACCATACTTGTCAGAGCACAAAAGAAAAGTATTAATCCCCTCAAGGGAATAATAAAATGTTTTAGCTCATTTAACGACGCAAAATGAGGTCACTAAACTGAAAAAAAGCAAACCACTATGTTTTCAGCTGAAAAAAAAACGGCACAAATAGGCTCAAAATATGTCTTTTGCTTGATAAAAATGCAGGTTAAAAATTTTCATGGCAAGATTAATTTGTTGTCTCGAAAATAGTTTATGTTCAGATTTGGTTACGTTTTCTAATCACCAGGAAAAGTAAAGAACAATTTTAACTTTTCATAATTTTTTTAGGATTTCTTTTTACATTTTGGTTGTTTTTTAAAGCTAGTCATATACTGAGGGGAACAAATTAAACATTAAGCTATGAAAAAAGATAAAATTAAATAATTCAAAATTTGATGAAGAGGTATATCGCAAATGCAGTCTGAAATTTATCCAGCCTGAAAATAAATCGGAAACACGAAAAAATGCAGACCAGTTTTTCTAGTAACTGAGATAAATTAATTGGATGTTTTGGATTCCAAATCATGGATGAAAATGCTTGAATATTATACCACACTTGGTGACCCACGATGTGCTTCCGAGGTAGCCAAAATCAGGCGGCATTAAAACACATGCTATTAATACATAGTTCATTACCAGGGGCGGATTTAGGGGGGGGAGCGGGGGGGGGCGGACGCCTCCCCCTCAGGGATTCGACCCCCTGCCGACCCAAAGGGTCCCCCCTTTGATACTTTTTCAGAAATCCATTTTTGGCCGACCGACCCTAAAATTTTTCTAAAGGCGCCTTAGGCGCCAATATATACTAACTTTGAGGGGGAGCGCGCGCCAAAAAAAACGCGTTTTTTTTTGTCAAAATTTTTCAAAAAGTGCCCAAAAACTGCTTTTTTGACTGTTTTTTCAAAAATTTGCCTGCGGCGCAGAAAATTTTGCCATAAAAGGGGCAAAACAGTGCTTTGGGAGAGCTCAAAAAATCAATTTGGTCGACCTAAAAAAAAAAAAAAAAAGTCGTCAAAATTTTTGAAAATTTTTTGAAAATCCGCCCCCCCTCGAGACAATCCTAGATCCGCCCCTGTTCAATACCTTCACTTCCTGAAGTGGTCGGAACAAAAACAGCAATTTTTTAAGAAGCCTTTTACAGCTTCTGCAATGGTAATTATTTTGTGCTACTTGAACAGCCATCTGCTACTATTGTTTGCATTGAAATTTTTCTTTGCAAAGTTTAAAATACGCGATACTGATAAGATTAAAGTTCCAATTCATAACCAAGTTATTATCTCCCAGCTTGGCTTCCAGCGGAGTCTATGAAGTCTTAACATGACCCTCAGACTTGAACAGGAAAGTGATCTGATTGGACTTACCCACGAACAGACGACAATGATGGTGGATGGTATGTAGCTCTGTAGGATGAAGTAGAGCAAGTCCCTCTTGAACAGGAAAGTGATCTGATTGGACTTACCCACGAACAGACGACAATGATGGTGGATGGTATGTAGCTCTGTAGGATGAAGTAGAGCAAGTCCCTCTTGAACAGGAAAGTGATCTGATTGGACTTACCCACGAACAGACGACAATGATGGTGGATGGTATGTAGCTCTGTAGGATGAAGTAGAGCAAGTCCCTCTTGAACAGGAAAGTGATCTGATTGGACTTACCCACGAACAGACGACGATGATGGTGGATGGTATGTAGCTCTGTAGGATGAAGTAGAGCAAGTCCCTCTTGAACAGGAAAGTGATCTGATTGGACTTACCCACGAACAGACGACAATGATGGTGGATGGTATGTAGCTCTGTAGGATGAAGTAGAGCAAGTCCCTCTTGAACAGGAAAGTGATCTGATTGGACTTACCCACGAACAGACGACGATGATGGTGGATGGTATGTAGCTCTGTAGGATGAAGTAGAGCAAGTCCCTCTTGAACAGGAAAGTGATCTGATTGGACTTACCCACGAACAGACGACGATGATGGTGGATGGTATGTAGCTCTGTAGGATGAAGTAGAGCAAGTCCCTCTTGAACAGGAAAGTGATCTGATTGGACTTACCCACGAACAGACGACAATGATGGTGGATGGTATGTAGCTCTGTAGGATGAAGTAGAGCAAGTCCCTCTTGAACAGGAAAGTGATCTGATTGGACTTACCCACGAACAGACGACGATGATGGTGGATGGTATGTAGCTCTGTAGGATGAAGTAGAGCAAGTCCCTCTTGAACAGGAAAGTGATCTGATTGGACTTACCCACGAACAGACGACAATGATGATGGATGGTATGTAGCTCTGTAGGATGAAGTAGAGCAAGTCCCTCTTGAACAGGAAAGTGATCTGATTGGACTTACCCACGAACAGACGACAATGATGGTGGATGGTATGTAGCTCTGTAGGATGAAGTAGAGCAAGTCCCTCTTGAACAGGAAAGTGATCTGATTGGACTTACCCACGAACAGACGACGATGATGGTGGATGGTATGTAGCTCTGTAGGATGAAGTAGAGCAAGTCCCTCTTGAACAGGAAAGTGATCTGATTGGACTTACCCACGAACAGACGACAATGATGGTGGATGGTATGTAGCTCTGTAGGATGAAGTAGAGCAAGTCCCTCTTGAACAGGAAAGTGATCTGATTGGACTTACCCACGAACAGACGACGATGATTTGGATGGTATGTAGCTCTGTAGGATGAAGTAGAGCAAGTCCCTCTTGAACAGGAAAGTGATCTGATTGGACTTACCCACGAACAGACGACAATGATGATGGATGGTATGTAGCTCTGTAGGATGAAGTAGAGCAAGTCCCTCTTGAACAGGAAAGTGATCTGATTGGACTTACCCACGAACAGACGACAATGATGGTGGATGGTATGTAGCTCTGTAGGATGAAAAAGAGCAAGTCCCTCTTGAACAGGAAAGTGATCTGATTGGACTTACCCACGAACAGACGACAATGATGGTGGATGGTATGTAGCTCTGTAGGATGAAGTAGAGCAAGTCCCTCTTGAACAGGAAAGTGATCTGATTGGACTTACCCACGAACAGACGACAATGATGGTGGATGGTATGTAGCTCTGTAGGATGAAGTAGAGCAAGTCCCTCTTGAACAGGAAAGTGATCTGATTGGACTTACCCACGAACAGACGACAATGATGGTGGATGGTATGTAGCTCTGTAGGATGAAGTAGAGCAAGTCCCTCTTGAACAGGAAAGTGATCTGATTGGACTTACCCACGAACAGACGACAATGATGGTGGATGGTATGTAGCTCTGTAGGATGAAGTAGAGCAAGTCCCTCTTGAACAGGAAAATGATCTGATTGGAGTTACCCACGAACAGACGACAATGATGGTGGATGGTATGTAGCTCTGTAGGATGAAGTAGAGCAAGTCCCTCTTGAACAGGAAAGTGATCTGATTGGACTTACCCATGAACAGACGACAATGATGGTGGATGGTATGTAGCTCTGTAGGATGAAGTAGAGCAAGTCCCTCTTGAACAGGAAAGTGATCTGATTGGACTTACCCACGAACAGACGACGATGATGGTGGATGGTATGTAGCTCTGTAGGATGAAGTAGAGCAAGTCCCTCTTGAACAGGAAAGGGATCTGATTGGACTTACCCACGAACAGACGACGATGATGGTGGATGGTATGTAGCTCTGTAGGATGAAGTAGAGCAAGTCCCTCTTGAACAGGAAAGTGATCTGATTGGACTTACCCACGAACAGACGACAATGATGGTGGATGGTATGTAGCTCTGTAGGATGAAGTAGAGCAAGTCCCTCTTGAACAGGAAAGTGATCTGATTGGACTTACCCACGAACAGACGACAATGATGGTGGATGGTATGTAGCTCTGTAGGATGAAGTAGAGCAAGTCCCTCTTGAACAGGAAAGTGATCTGATTGGACTTACCCACGAACAGACGACAATGATGGTGGATGGTATGTAGCTCTGTAGGATGAAGTAGAGCAAGTCCCTCTTGAGCAGGAAAGTGATCTGATTGGACTTACCCACGAACAGACGACAATGATGGTGGATGGTATGTAGCTCTGTAGGATGAAGTAGAGCAAGTCCCTCTTGAACAGGAAAGTGATCTGATTGGACTTACCCACGAACAGACGACAATGATGGTGGATGGTATGTAGCTCTGTAGGATGAAGTAGAGCAAGTCCCTCTTGAACAGGAAAGTGATCTGATTGGACTTACCCACGAACAGACGACAATGATGGTGGATGGTATGTAGCTCTGTAGGATGAAGTAGAGCAAGTCCCTCTTGAACAGGAAAGTGATCTGATTGGACTTACCCACGAACAGACGACAATGATGGTGGATGGTATGTAGCTCTGTAGGATGAAGTAGAGCAAGTCCCTCTTGAACAGGAAAGTGATCTGATTGGACTTACCCACGAACAGACGACAATGATGGTGGATGGTATGTAGCTCTGTAGGATGAAGTAGAGCAAGTCCCTCTTGAACAGGAAAGTGATCTGATTGGACTTACCCACGAACAGACGACAATGATGGTGGATGGTATGTAGCTCTGTAGGATGAAGTAGAGCAAGTCCCTCTTGAACAGGAAAGTGATCTGATTGGACTTACCCACGAACAGACGACAATGATGGTGGATGGTATGTAGCTCTGTAGGATGAAGTAGAGCAAGTCCCTCTTGAACAGGAAAGTGATCTGCAAGTCCGCAAAAATCCCAGTTGAGAAGTGCAGCTCAAACCTAGAAACAAATCAATCGCAAATCAAGAAAAAAATGATAACAAAGAGAACTCGTATGAAAAAGTAATAGCCTATAGCTTTATAAGTTCTGCAGAGTTTTCGATTACGTCGTTCTTTGTTGAGTTTGGGCTGCAGGGGCAGGGGCGAGGGGGGGGGGGGGGGGGGTGAGACGCTAGATTACTGGGTAAAGCTTAAACAATCCACCCGATTTCGTATAATGTTTCGTTTTGATTTTGTGTGGAAAAAACACGCACTAATAAAAACAATTTTAATTGAAATAATATTAAGCCTTAATCTTAATCCGAGGAAAAACTTTGTGTAAAGGCGTGTTTCGTTAGACCGACATTGATTTTCTGAGCTCTTTTGGAACACTCTTTTGTTCTATTTGCCAGTAAAATTTGATTTTCAAAATTTGCAGCACCGCAATACCAATATTGAGAAAAACAACGAGCCAAAAAGGACAATTTGAGGCACTTTTTTTTTTTTGAAATTTTTGAGTTTTAAAGCACTGAAATGTCATTTTTATCGAATTAGCATATCGTGATAAATTCTTCTATTTGCGCTTTGGATATTTTTTATTTCTGCAAACATTATTTTGTTGCTGAGTTTGTTTTAAACTCGTTTGACCTTGTGAGCTGGAAAGTCTTCATGTGGAACTGTGCCATGTAGATGTCACTGAAGGTCACGCTGTCATTGCCCTCGTGCCAGTTCAAGGTCAAGTCGTCTGTAGTGTATCCATAGCACTCTAAGCAGCAGAGTCGGTTGCTGTGCAGGGAGCACAGAATGTTCCGAGCACAGTATGTTAAGAAAAAAATTACAAATAAAAAAAACATTCGAAAAAATTTTCCATTTTTTCCAATTTTTTCTTCCATTTTTGTCCTATTTAAGTGTTATTTTGTAAAGGATGACCTAATTAAAAGAAAAAAAAGATGGAATGAAAGGCAATAGCAGCGCTGAAATAACGTTAAAATCCGTTTTAGAATGAAAACGAGAATATTCAGACCAATTTTTCTCGACACTGCGACAACTTTTTGATTTTCTTTTCGAATCCGGATTACCACTAACAATCTTTATGATGATTCCAAACTTGACCCCTACGAGTTTTTTGTGAGGTAGTCAAAATGTGAACAAAAATTATACCCTTCGCTATAGATCTTTCCCATTCCCCTTAGGGTGGTCGGAATAATAAATAACAACAACAAGGGTAGCTTCAATCAATTCGGCAACTATTCTCTGTTATTTTTTTCGATTTGAGTTTAGGTATGCCAGTTATGTGACATTTGTACTTAGACATAGTGATGAAACGTTTAGTTTAGTTTTTAAACAAAATTGTTTCAAACTTGCAACTAATAAGAGACATTATATAGCCTATTTTGTGCTTAAAGAACTACTGTGCATATAAAATGTGCATATAAAATGGAAACATTTTTGAGCGCAGATTGATTCTCTTTTGCTGGAATAACTCACGCTTGAACGTTCAGAGTTATATCAGATCTGGACAAATCTAACAAAATTTAAGGTGTTAAGCAAAAATTTACAAACTGAGTTTTTGAAGTCAACCCAATTTGAAAAAAAAAACGTTTAAAATTTCAGAATTTATTCTTTTCTTCCAGATTTGGTATAACGCTAAACGCGTAAGAGCAAGTTACTTAAACAGGGAGAATCAATACGCGCCAAAATTGTTACCAAATGATATGACGCAAGCTAGTTGCTCATAGTAATTCTCTCGGCAGAGAATATAATATTCAGAGTGTAATATTCGATGCTGGCGGAAAAGTTAAGCAAACAATGATATTTTTTCCAATCATCACATCAAAATTATTGTTATACTGAGTATCAAAAGGCACATTTTGAAACAAATGGAAAGACATTAGGAAAATTCAGGTATTCATTCTGATAAAAAAGCCATCTTTTTTTGAGCTTTTAAATATTGGGTTGGTTTTGAAATCTTATCGCAAGCGAAATTTGATTGCAAGAGGCAAATATTTTGAAAATTTGACAATGCATATCGCGAGCATTTTATCATGATTTTTTAAAACTGGTTTATTAAGTAAAGCGAATAATCCAAACAAAAATGAATCTTACTGAAAACAAGTGAAAAAATTGAATAAAATAGCCAAAGACGAATCGTCGCCTAGGTCATTTTAAATATTATTACCTTCACGCCATAGTGATAAATGATCGTTTCGTTACTTTGATCAATGTTTGTAAACCTTTAACCATCGCTGGAACCAGTTTGGATGCTGAGCGTATTACTACTATTCGTAATTAGCGACGATTCGTAGCAAGACTGCTTGTATCAGGGCGAAGCACTGAATGTTCCGACTGCCTTTTAAGGTCTATGGAGCAGTAATAACATGAAAAACACGCCATATAAAGTACAAATAGATAGATTTCGCTCCTATTAACAAATCAATTATAGCCAAGGCCCGGATTAAATTGTTATAACATAAAAACATATGTTTTAACATATTTTGCTCTTTTTAACATGAAACATGAAGATGATGGATTTTAACATTATGTTCGAAAATTGAACATGCAAAAATAAGCGCTGCTACTTTCTCAAGTGTTAGTTGATCAAATAGTTTGTTTGCTTTCAAGTAGTTTGTTTGCTCTAAAGTGTTAGTTGATCAAATAGTTTGTTTGCTTTGTTCCGACTTTCTCTACGCGATTTTTTTTCAGTTGAGCTTATGCCATGGGTCGCGATCAAGTAACCGGGAGTTCTCTTTTACTTTCACTCGATAGTGGAAAAAAAGTATGGGAGTTTTTGCCAGGTGCCAACAAACTTCGCTGTAAACCTTGTGGACTTTTAATCGATTGCAATTATCGTGCGAAGACATAAACCAGCATTTGAAGAGCGGAATTGGAACAAACTAACAACTCGACTATCACGCAGTTCGTTAATTCCACAATGTTTAAACTTTTTTAATGGAGACATCGAGTACACACGGTTGAAGTGTTTGATATCAGACAGTGCGTCTTACATGATACAAGCTGGTCGGAGCTTGAAAGCGTTGTACCCCGAAAAGAGTCTGCAAATTACTGTTGCGAAAATTTCGAAAAACTTACTGACTTTATCCTTGAACATCTCGAAAAGCACGAATCTTTAGCGATTTCTTCGTTGAAAGCACTCGTATTCGCGAAAAAGGAAGAACTGGCCGTGTCTCTGACCTGCATTGCTGGAGAGTTTGCGCATTTGGTGACTGATAAAGAAACTGCAAGAAAGGATCTCACATGGGGTTGCTGTCCAACTGGTTGAAGAGTTTAGTTCAACTCTAACAGACCATTACAAAGAAAAATTAATGGCTGTTCTCAACAGGAATCCGGACTGGGAGTTCGTAAGCGAGGTTGGCGGGGTGCTCAATGGAAAAGTTGGGTCAACTGGTCTAGACCCTGGCTGTGTCAGCTATAGTTAGTGTGGACGTGGAACGAAGTTTTTACGCTTTATCGTACATTCTCGCTCCGCAGAGACAGTCTCTCACTGTGAAAAACTTGAAATTTTGCATGGTTGTTATGTGGAACACTGTGTGAAATTCAAGTTTCATTTAACATTTTTTGCAACATTTTTTAGCATTTTTATTAACATTTTAATGAACATAAATTGCTCAAAATGATAACAAAAAATTCCGGGCCTGATTATAGCATTTAAGCTTCCTTGAACCCATTTGGAACGATTTCTAAGATGGATTAAATCTTGGCTTACGCGATAATAGCGCTAAATATATCGCGCGTTAATTGTTTCAAATTGGCAATCTTTAAACTCCCATAACCTACGAAAAATGATCACAGGTAAAATATCTTTTCAAATTTAAGCTAATGACAACAATACCTTTAGAATAATATAAAAAATTCCGTCAAACATGGCTAGTTAAAAAGCCGAAATTTGTCTGAAGGAAAAAAACCCCACCCCTTCATTACGAAAGTCGGAACAACAAGCAACAATTCATGAGGAGGCAGTGGCAAGTAGGATACGCTTGCTCCACTGCGCGGATATCCGGCACAGGAGCAATACTGTGCATGAATCAGTGGTAGCCGCCTAACCTACAGGCGTTACTTGTTACGAATTGTCGAATGTTGAGTATTGCTCTTCAAGAAGGTTTAGAAATGCATCACTGGGTATACCATGAGTAAGAGTGAAGAGTTAAAAGAGGATGGCCCACCCCCATTTTATACCTATGAGGAGCTTGCACGTCTGAGTGTCCATCGGAAATATTTCCAAATCCATGGGGCATTTGGCAATCACTGTCGTCCGACTGCTAAAACAAACCAAACAACGCATATACACACGGTAAACTACATATTATATAAGGATTACAAAATTTCATGTTTTTTTACAGTTTTAAATTCAAAGCTTTTTTTTCGGCGCTTGAAGGTGCTAACGTTTCAAGCAGGGGCGGATTAGGGGGGGGGGGGGCGGTGGGGCGGACGCTCTTCTTCCCTTCTCAGGGATTCGACCCCTCCCTGCCGACTCAAAGAGTCTCCTCCCTTTGTACTATTTTGAAATATCCATGCTGAAATGTTCTAAAGGCGCCTTTGGCGCAAATATAAACTAATTTTGAGGGGAGAGCGCGCACCGAAAAAACGCAATTTTTTGGTCATAATTTTCCAAAAAGTGCCTAAAAAGGCCTTTATTGGCCTGTTTTTTCAAAATTTAGCCTGCGGCGCAGAAAATTTGGTCAAAATAGGGAAATTTTAGTGCTTTGGGAGAGCTCAAAAATCAATGTGGTCGACCTTTAAAAAAGGTACCTGACAAAATCCTAGATATTCGCCCCTGGTTCCAAGTACTAGTTAATTACAGTTAAATCGGCGTATAAAACAATTTTGAGTTCTTATAAAATAGAAATTAATAAAATTTTTGTCAAAAATTACTCTAAATTTGTCTGAAAACAGGTTTGAAACCGGTTTTTTTCAACACTGAAAAAAATACGTGAAATTTTAAAATATTGATCGAATCAGGACTGAAAAGTAGGACTTTTCTTATAATATACGAATCAACTCCAATCTGACTCTCATGACAGAAAAAGACGCTCCAATGCAAAAGTCAGAATAACCTGACTTCGTGGTCAGAATAACAATTTCGTTTCTGCGACTCATAAAGGATCTATCAAATGTTTTTAAGCCTGCCCCAAGATGGTAAGCTTAGTAGTTGAGTGCCAAAAAAATGGAGAGAGATTGTTAAGTTAGTTAAATCAGCGAGTTTTTGGCCAATCACAATGCAGCAAAAATCAAAATTTAAATAGAACGCTTAAGCTAATTTACAGTTTTTTTATTGGGCTAAAAAGTTTTAGCAGATGCCACAGGGGGGGGGGGGGTATTGTTAAGTAGATCCCATTTTTGAGACTTCAAAGCCGTTCTTTGCTACTAGAAGTTTCAGGTGTAAAATTTCTGAGTCAAAATGTAGTCACAATCTTGCAAACAAGGAGCTGAAGATTATGCAGGAACTAATCTTCACAAGCTGTCGTAGCTTTGGCAGAATATCAGATACGCGATCCATGAAACTCTCAAGCGAACGCTTTACTTTTATACTGAGTGCCAAGGAAAACTCAAAAATCCTTAAGAATTTAACTCTCTCACCACTTCTTTTTGGCATTTTTCACATCAGTTTCTTGCCAACCAACCCTAAAATTAATTTTTAGGCGCCTTCGGCGTCATTGTTCACAGATTTTGAGCGCAGAGCACAGGCCTGCCAAAATGTCACTTTAATCATATTTTAAAACACGAGTGAGACGCTGAATTTTAATCTTCCTCAATTTTTAGGAGATTCTGGAAAAGCAATTTGGCAGACCTTAAAAACCTGGCAAGTTGGGCGCAAGTGCTAATTGCTCTGGATGTCAGATCAAAGTGAGTAGTAGAGAAAAATAATAGGTTGCAAAATGTTGGACAGACAGAATTTATTAAAAAGAACCATCTGCCAGTTTGTGGCAGTTTTTGCATTCAAATATGGAATGAAATTTTTGGCGACCTTGAGACACCTAAAAATTGGCTATTGTTTGCAATTTTTTCTGAAACAGATTGTTTACTGTTTTGAACTTTGTGCAACTGCGTATAAGTGGTACCTGTAGAGAATGGACCCGTCGGGGGATAGTCTTATGAGGACATTGGGTACCATGACATCCTGCTTCGAGGCGGAGAGGGAGTCGGGGAAGTAGGTGTCCGGAACCCAGATGCGCTTCAGGAAGTCATGTGACAGAGTGAGTGGTTCTAGAACATTCTTCATCTTGGACTAGTGGATGGTCCAACCTATTCATTCTACACTTGTTTATAAATTCATCCTGTGAATATGAATACTTTGACTACGCAGAATATAACAGGATTACAGAGAAAAAATACATATCAAATGAGGAAGAAGAAAAAAGTCAGATATAAAATTAAATCCCTGATAACCTGATAAAAAGATATAACCTGCAGTTATAGAACCTTTTGCGACAAGTTGAAGACCGCCAAATAATGAATGTTTTTGATCAGTTGTTTAAAAAACTAAATGCAAGGCAGAGGCAAGCGCAATATTTTTTTTGAGGGGGTCGTTTTTCTTTCAAAAATTGATTTTCCAAGCACCCCCAAACACATTAAAACTCCGATGAAAAACACTTGTGAAAAAAATAGTGCCAAAAATACACTTTTTGGGAAACTTTTGGTAAGTTTTGACCAAAAAAATGGTTGTTGTAACATACTAAAACAGTCGATGATCATTTAAAAAACGTTTTTTATGTTTGTTTAAGTTAAAACTTTGATATCTTCCACTATATCCCCCCGTTTGCAAGGGGGGGGGGGGAGATTCGTTGCCAGGTATAAAACTCTCATATGCTTAGCTGTTGATTTATTTCTTTATTGGCGAGGATATTCGTTTCTAGGAACCCGAAGGGGATATAGTAAAAGATATCCAAATTTTTCTTTTTTACTTTTTTTACAATTTAAATTGTTGATTTATTGAGATAGAAAAGATTTAACGAATATATTTAATTAATCTTACCTGTTTAGAGCTTTTGGAACACTTCGGTCGGAAAAAAGTATCATGGGAGCTTTTTAATATTTGACCCAATATTGGACTACTATAATATAAGAATGCATTCACTGAGGTGCTTACCGAAGGCGTTTGTCTTCCATATTTTCTCATTCGTAATAATTTTCACCTTAATTTTAACAGAACTGTGAGCTTTGTCATTAACATTATACCATCAAAGCTAAAATTGATCTTTAAAATTGTATAGTAAATCGATTTGCGAAATGATTTACTACTTGTATAGTAAATAATTTCGTAAATCGATAACTATTGAAGTTTTAATTTAATTTAATATGAGCGCCATTACATAAAATTTATGGTTTTCTGGTAAATTAGATGTACTACGTAAACATCCTCCCCCCCCCCCTCCCCGTAGGTTTTGAGTGGGTATTTTCAACCAATCAGAGCCGAAGAAGTGCATAAAGGAGTGACTGACTGTTGTAGAGCGGCTGTGCCTCCACAGCAGTGAACTTGAGTCTCTCGTCCTTCCAGTACTGTCTGAAGGACAGGTCTATTCTGAAGTTCATCTTCACCTCGTCAATCGGCCCCAGCGAGTCCACATTGGTGGTCACGCCCACTTCCACCGGAGGACCACCGAATTGGGGCCTGGAAAGAAACGAACAGGACATAACGAGGCCAAACTGTACACTGAATTACTCGCAATGTGTATTCGTTTTTATTCCGATTAATAATGAATACACACTAAGCAAAAAATTTGCAACATTCCTAAAATCTATTGACAGTCAAATATCTAGAAACACAGCTTCAAGTGTGCCGATACATACCCAAGTCCATAGGACCCGAAAGAAAGAAACTCCAAAAATGACTCAACTGAAATTTTGACTGGAATTTGAGCTGATTTGAGGAATTTGAGCAAATGGTTATATTATTTATCTTTTGTTCAAAAATGTAGATTCTTTTTCTGGGGAGTCGTCTCCTCTAAGCACGCTTTCACTCTACTTAACGGCCGCTGAGTTTCTCCCCTTTATACCGTGTAATAGCGAGGGACACCAAGACACGAGATGATCCACAATCCCAAAAGGGTTATGTTGGTGGTCAGACTAAATCGGTCGATCAAAGGATTACGCAACTTCCCCCTTAATTTAGGCTCTTTTCGGCTCTCCTCTTACGCTTCTAGCTAGTTCAGCAAATCGTGGGCACAATGAGTAAATTCTCAATCGCAAAGGAAATAGAACAATTTACAGTGCCCTTAATAAGCTAACTACTATTTAGCAACTTCTATATTGAAGCCCGCGTCCCGTTCCGTTCAATCGCTCGTCAGTTTTTGGTTGACTCGATTCAAAACTCGCCTACTTTAGCAGAGAAACTCGCTCACCCAACTAGTTCAACCCGGTACCAAACTCGGGTTCCAGCGCAACTCGCTCGCACAGCTATTTCAACCCGGTACTAAACTCGGGTTCCAGCGCAACTCGCTCGCACAACTATTTCAACCCGGTACTAAACTCGGGTTCCAGCGCAACTCGCTCACTAGCAATGATTGTTCTCTACTCTGATGAGAACCAATTACTGTTGATAGTAGCTAACACTGTTCTATTCTCTGATCGAGAACCAACTACTCTTGATAGTAGCTAACACTGTTCTCTTCTCTGACGAGAACCAACTACTCTTAATAGTAGCTAACACTGTTCTCTTCTCTGACGAGAACCAACTGCTCTTAATAGTAGCTAACACTGTTCTCTTCTCTGACGAAAACCATATACTCTTAATAGTAGCTAACACTGTTCTCTTCACTGTTGTGTAGATTTAGCGGATTTCTTCTCAAGTGGTCCCTTTGGCGGTGAACTCAGCGGGGCGACCGAGATTCACTACTATCTACAATCGCGAAAAGGTTAATTTGGTGGCAACTGTTGTGTACTGCTCTATGTTGCTTGCCCCTTCTGTATATTGCTCTTAGGGCTGTTTCGTCAATACAATCGTAATGATCTCCAAAAGTAAATTACTTAAATGATTACACGTCCAATTACAGAAGGCTCTGAATGGCCACGATATAATCTATCAGTCTAACCGAAGGGCAAGGGCTGAGATTTTTAAGGCAAATGCCTGATTGCAAGTTAACTTCCACTAATTTCCCTAACACTAAAATATTCTCTTTCTCTAGAGAATCTCAGATGAGAACCAATCATCTACTTTTTCTGCTATAATAGTTCTCTTACTCTGTGTGAGAACCAACAACTCCAATAACAGCTAACAACTGTTCTGACTCTTAAAGGCTCTCCGGTACCCTCCAATTCCTTATCTTTCTTTACACTTAGTTTTAGTTAAGTCAGCCCATTCCCTATCAGTCCTGACATCCGCCTAAATCACCCGTTCAAACAAGTTTAAGACTATATCACTCCTCCTGTCACTTCTGCCACGTGCCAATTTCGGTTTCTTTTATCAATCTTTTCACGCTTATTAGATACCCGGTATGCGGTAGCTGTCAAAATTTGACCAAGCAAACAAATGTCATACGATTCTAATTAACTAATTCTTGAACTCTGTGAACTTGAGCTCTCAAGTTCAACTCAACCTCCAAACCAGGCTATGTTTACTCAGTAATCCTCCCAAGGTCTTTATTTCAATTATACCGTTAACGTTCCGACCTCCCAAGGGTAGGGGGAGACCCTTTTCATGGGTAGCTAATTCATTTCAAGTATCTAAATTTCTATCTGTACTCTATTCCAATCCCGACCTTCTAGCTATCAGGGGAACGTAGTTCGTCTATTAGGGGTCAAATTAAACCAAAAAGTCACCTCCGGGAAGCCAAGTAAAATCCCCGTCCATTCATACTATTTAGGAAAATTAACCCTCATGCTATGCCTCTATTACTACCAGATTGCTCTGGGACTACTTTTCTTTAGTCTGATTGATGTGCTATTAATAGATCATTCGACAAGCTAAACTGACCCCATTATTTACCAAGTCCACTTAAATTAAATCCTCTACTCCATGGTTGCAAGCTTCCTTTATCAGCTTCTGCTCTAGTTCCCACTATATAAGTTTTTCCCCCAATTTTTAGCAAGGTGACCCATTCTCATTTCCAGGGGTTGGGCTGGGGAATACGCCACTTTCCGGTGTTAATCCCAAGGTTTTCTATACAAATTTGATCCTAAACGCCCAAAGGTCAATTTGAGGTCATTCGGGGTCACCCGGGATCAATCTTCCACATTCAGGTTTAGAATCCCATAGGGGTCCTACCTACCAAGTTTCATCCATATCCCGTTAACACATTCAAAGTTATCCCATTTCAAAGGTCCATTATCACTTTTTCCGGGAAAAGGCTATTAACACCAGAAGGAGTCGACGGAGGGGTTTCAGTCAGAAGGGGTCTTTTTTCGGGGACGAGGTGTAGTATCTGATGCCGCCATAAAATTTACGCTGATTATTTTGCGTAAATTGCCTACTTCCGGTCTAAGGGGGTGTTTTTCCAAGTGCTAATAGCTTCCGGTCCAACTGCCGGATTTGGTTCAAGTTGTAACACAAGATCCCTCCAAGTTTCAGCTCCCTGCAATCATTGGAGGCCGAGAAATGATTTCCGGAAGTTACCGGTGGGTTTGTTTGCTTTGGGCATAAAGCCGGAAGTGGGGGTCTGAGGGGTCTGGGTTTCTAAACTTAAGCTTCCCTCAACTATGTCTATAACATACTATATTTTGGTTCCATTCCAACCGTTAGTTACCGTGTTCTGATAGGGCCATTTACACTTCCGCGGACCGTTATCACTTGACCCCCAAGGGTCTGAGGGGTCCCGTTTTTTGTATGCCCTGGTCAAATCATCTCTAGTATCGCTCCTCTGAATTCCATAAACCTAGCCACTGTAGTTCCTATTTGGGGGGTGGTCCGCAATTTTACTTCACCTGAGTTTTCCGCCATAAGAGGGACTATATCTTTGAAGATTCAACTATTTCGAACTTTACCCTTTGTTTGCTGTACTACTTAACTTAACGACCAATCAATCTTAAGCTCAGGTTAATAAAGCATGAAATACAGTAGAATCACCAATTCTACAAAAAACATACAATCAAAAAGATTAAAGTGACCACCGCAGTGGCGGTAACGTGTTGTGAGCTTGCCAACAGAAGGTATCTAACTATACAAAACTTAGAGTCGGTCACCGCGGTGATGTTTTGCATGGTGAACTTACAAGCTATTAAGAACACATTTGTTCTTCATACCTTTTAGCCATAATAACACGTCAGACAATTGAAAAAGTTGAAAATTTGAAATATGATAAGAAGGAGAATAGAGCCGGATCTTGTATCGGCGATGCTCAGCCTAGAGTTTAAAAGAGCCGGCTCAGTAGTTTTTGACCAATTGAACCCTTTCATAACCTAGGTAACTGCTCTTTCATTTCAAGACCTACAATGCTGACTGTCTGCGCAGTTTCAAGCATTTATATATGACTGAATGATTCTGAAAGCACAATCTGAATTATTTATGCGCAAGGAAATATCCACCAACCATAATTGCTATCAAAAATGGAATGTAGCAGCTGATTGGTCACATTACATGGCATCAAATTATGAATTATTAGCCAATAGCAGATTTATGTGTCTGCAAAATCATCTGCAGCAGAACTGCCACATGTCTAAATGTTCGCTGAGCAGGTCTGTTCCAGATCTGCTATCTGCCTAGTTCACCATCAGCTCTGCTTCTACCGACAGCCGACTGGGCCTACTCTAAATAGCCTTCTTCAGATGCACTTCTATCGTGTATGTGTGGACCTCATCTACTATGAAATACAGTTTTCAAAAAATGAATTAAGTCAAACGAGTACGAGAAAGCAACCACATTGTTCGTCCAGTTAGACAAGTTCGTCCTCAACAACGCTAAACGGCTGCCTAGTTTTCACTGTAGATGTACAAAAACATCCTTAGAAAAACATTGAGAAAAATTCACATAAGCAAAATTTAAGTTTGTTTGGCCAAGAAGTCGAATCTATTCGTCACAGAGTGAAGAAGAAGTTTTCTCAACCAGTTAAAAAAACAGTTTACAAAAAATGCTTTTCAAACAGTTTTCAGGTATGGAAGAATGCTTATCATACAGTTTTGTACGATTCCAAATTGTGAGAAAAATTACGTAAGCATTTTTTCATAATAAAAAGTTTTATGACGACAAGCATTTTGCCTTAAACCAAAACCGTTTTGCCCTAAACCGTCAAACAATTTAGTGTTTTGTCCCAAAAAAAACAATAACGAAATGTTTTCTAACACAAGCAATCCCATTGGTAGAGGATATGAAATCTCACAGACACTCGCATTTGGGTAGTAATTGAATGAGATAATAGATCATAGTTCACTCAGTTTTCTGTTTGGCCAGAAAGTTTTTAGGCACATTTTTTTCCGAAACTCATGGCCTGATTTTTTTTCGAAAAACTTAAATATAAATCACAAAGTGAAAACAATCAAAATTTCAAATTATGATTCGCACAAAAATTTTCGGTGAAGTAGTTTCTTTTTATTAAGAGTTCAGCCTGGTCTGCGTTGTAGACAAAAATCACAAGTTTTACATGCGAATACTCATTTTCGAAAATTGCTTATTTCAGCAGAAAAGTGATAAAACGAATAAAAGTTGAGTGAACAATTTTTCCTTTAACTTGGATTTTGTACTTCGGAAACTTTTTTACGCTAAGGTAAAAATTGCTTATCATACAATTTTCATTTATGGCAATGGGATGATAAACACATTTTTTGTATGGTTGAGCTTTTTTCTGGCTTAGAATTGTATGATAAGCATTTTCCTGTTTGGAGATCTTCAATTTCATGGATCTAATCATCAAGTTTGTGCGTTTTTAGGTCTCTCAGGCGTGTTTCAAATCTACTAAGGCCTGGATTTTATTTTGAAGTGTCATCCCGCACTCAGTAAAAAGAGAAAATAATCGATTATATTACAATTATAATTGTACTTTTATCAAAATTATAATGACATATAAGCGCCAAATTTAGATGCTCAAAATTTTTTTAATCTATTACAATGATAACATTTTTCATGACATTATAAAAAGTTATAATCAATAAGAATTGATTATACGTTTTCCAAAAATTCTGTTAAAATCTCTTATAATCAATTATAATCTATTATAATAAATTATAAAACTTTTTTCTGTCAAAAATCTCTAAAAGTGAGATGTCTTGTCACTCTTTGGTTCATCGGAACACAAAGTTTTACCACAAAACAAAAGTTTCATAGAGATCCCTTCATAATAGTTGAAAGAATCCCTTAGTATGTGAAATATAACTCTTCTTTATAAATCATGAAATTAAAACAGTGTGCTGACATTTTGG